TGCTTCTCTAAAGTGTGGAAGCTCGTCCAACTATAGGTTGAATTTGATATAGCGGACATTCTGAAATATAAGAGTTTATACCGTTTTAGACATATAGTCTATTAAACTGGCTATCCTGAAATAAGGTTGAATAAATTATCAACCCCTAGGAATATTTTTGTTCCCACAACCCGCGCGCGTTAGGTCAGCCTTCGGTCATTCAAATTCGAATGTCAAAAAATAGACTCTATATTCGCGATTTGTCCCCCGCGGAGCCCGGATTCTCGGCCTTTTCATCTTAGTTAACTGGCTAGAAAGATGATATTGACGCGCGCGCACCTTTATTCAAAAAATGGCCTAGAATCTTCTTCAGCGCGCGCTCCCCCTTTCTAGCGGGGCTCGCGGTGGTAAATTGGCTCATCTTCTTTCACTGTTCTTATAACTCAATAATCTCAATCAGCTTATTTTGTTAACATTCATTCAGATTTGCTATTTGAATACAAATCAAAAATGGCAACAGTCGACGACGAGACAAGTACGAAGCCGGACAGCCTTTCGAATCGCGAGCCGCCTGGAACACTAACGCCGTCTATGGGTACTTCTCATTCTCAAAAGATACCAGAGGCTGATTCTGAGAAAGCGATAGTTGAAAATGAGCAAATGGTATGTCCGCAACATTAGAGATACAGATACAAGCAGCTGATTTATATGCCACCATCAAGATTGTGACCTGGGATGGTGCAGACGACCCCACGAATCCCAAGAATTGGTCTTTCAAGCGTAAATGGGGCATCACTGTTGTAGTCTCGCTTATTGCATTCATGACGGGAATATCGTCTGCTATCATCGCGCCCGCTAGCAATGTCATCGCTGAAAAATTTGACATCCACACTTCTTTTCGAAAACAGCTCAACTTCTCCATCATTCAACTTGCCTACGTTATCGGGCCCCTGGTATTGGCTCCGCTTTCTGAAGTATACGGACGTTCGTTTATTCTTCAAGCCTCCAATGTTTTCTTCTTAATCTTCAATTTCGTGAACAGCTTCGCAGATACTGAAGGCGAGTTCCTGGCCTTCCGGTTTCTGAGTGGTCTTGGCGCTTGTGCTCCTTTGACAATTGGTGGTGGTGTCCTGTCTGATCTATGGCGCCCAGAGGAAATCGGTATGGCCATTGGACTATACACTCTAGCTCCTCTGCTTGCTCCTGCCCTCGGACCCCTACTCGGAGCTTGGATTGTCGAGAGGTCTACATGGAAATGGTGCTTCTTTTCCATCACCATTTTCGGAGTAATTGTGCAAACCCTCGTTTTCTTTACGTTGAAAGAAACGTACGGCCCACGAATCTTGCAAAGAAAAGCCGAGAATTTGCGCAAAGAAACCGGAAATAACCAGCTGCGGACGGCATTTGAGCTTAAAGATTTGCGTCTTATCTCTATCATGCGAACTTCGCTCGTTCGTGTCGTTATATTGCTTACCACTCAGCCCGTCGTCATTTTTCTCTCAGTATATTTTGCGATGGTCTATGGTATCATCTACCTTATGCTGGTGAGTACTCATCCAATGTTTGTCTTCGATATTAGGTCAGAAACTGATTTACAATTTTCTTCTTCTAGTCTAGCTTCCCGTCGTTGTGGACAACTTACTATCACGAGTCCGTCGGCATCGGTGGTCTCAACTATATTGCTATCATGATCGGCTTGACCATCGGTGCACAAGGAGGTGGTCGTATCGTAGAATATGTATACAAGACCCTGAAAGCTCGATCATCTGACAATACTGGAAGACCCGAATTTCGCGTGCCTCTTCTATTCTTCTCCACTTTCTTAGTGGCAGCGGGACTTTTCATGTATGGGTGGTCCGCTGAAACGAGGACTTTCTGGCTTTCGGCAGACATTGGTGCTGCTATTTTCTCTGTAGGAGCAGCTATGACGTTCTCTTCAATCCAAACATATATTATCGATTCCTATCCTACATTCGCTGCATCTGCTATAGGTGCGACCGCGGTGCTGAGAAGTTTGACTGGATTTGGGTTCCCGCTTTTTGCTCCTGCTATGTACAACAAACTTGGTTATGGCTGGGGTAATAGCGTGCTCGGATTCGCGGTTCTAGCCGTTGGCTATGCTGGAGCTCTGATCCTCTGGGTTTTCGGGCACAGGCTGAGGGAGGCAAGTCCATATGCGAGAGGAGGTGGGTGAAGGATCCAAAATGATCAATTAGCACCCAGTTGTACGGAAAAGAAGGAAAGATGACATGTGTATATCATTTGAAAGGCGAGATAGGAATCGGTTTGCTACTTCTAGTTGAATCTTCGTACGCCACTTGGGCCGAAAGCATTGGGAGATGATGTCCCAAATAATAGCTTTAAACCTCACACCAAGGTTATTGACATGATTATGATGTAAAACCCTCGGTTCTATTTCAAAATCAAAGTAGATCGTAGTGCCATCAGCGCAAATGCAAGTGAACCAAATGATAAATTTCCTTCAGTCGTGCCAACAGGGGATATATCGAGTGTAAGAACTGGTAATTGTGCATCAGTATATGACATGATGTCAGCTGCCTACCAATGCGGCGCAGTGTGTGTAATGAGTTGCTATACCCCGATTTCATCGAATCGAGCAACATTTGTAACCTTCGAACTAGGATGCCATCAATTTATGAATTGCGATTTTTAGATGCCTGAGGCATCACGGTTAGCGGCGCTAGGTGAAATGGATTACCTAACATAAGCTGACCTTTGGACTACCTAATACTTCACAATAGCATCAATTATCAATTCTTTTTACAACCATATGCCAAAGTTCTCCCTTCTCAACTTCATGTACGTCATTACTATTCTCTGTTACGATCAAAATGAACAGAAGTTCTAACGGCTGTTGGATTTGTCGACTACGGCGCAAAAAGTGCGATGAGCATCGTCCTGTTTGCAATGAGTGCATGACGCTCCACATCTCTACCTGCAATTACGGCGCCAAGCCAGCATGGATGGATGGCGGTATAAAGCAAGAAGTCATGACCAAGAAGATCAAAAATGAGGTCAAGCAGCATGCTCCTTATCGCCGCCGTGGCAAACGGGAGTTGCCTGCCTCTAATCTCAACGTTTCTATTCCAGGACTTGCAGATCAGAAGTTAGCTAGTTTCAAAATCCCTCTTCCAGAATCTGAAGTTCAAAGTGAAACCAGTTCGTATACACATGATGCTAGTGCGACTTCTCCAGATATATCGACTGTCGCTTCTCCTGTTAACACCCAAAAGATCTGTAAGCAAGTACTGCAGATAAGACCATTCGCACAGTCGGACTCAGTGCTACTCGTGTTTTACCTCGAACGCATCCTTCCGTTTCTATTTCCTTTCTATCGGCCTGCGCCACTCCATGGTGGGCGAGCATGGATTTTAGATTTGGCTATCAGCAGCCCCGTCGTCCGTCAAGCTATCCTTTGCCAGAGCTCATATTTCTTTGCATTGGCACACGGAACTTCTACCATCAAAGACGATCGTATGTGGGAAGCCTTACTCGAGCAAACAAGAGATGCTTTTAACATGTTACGCAATTCTATTACAATCATCGAGAGCTACAACGAAAATGAGCACATACTTGGTAGCGTTCGCGCTATGGCTGCTGTCCTGCAGCTACAACGTTTCGAAATTGCTATCACTTCATTTGACAATTGTCAAGCGCATCTCAATGCTGCCTTAACAATTTTTAGAAAAGTCGTTGATGTTGTTGGAGCTGACAATCTAGCTAGCTCTTCCAACACATTTCATAGTATTCTCAGTCTTCTGGGTCCCCCTACATGGATCCTGCCAGCCCAACAAGCTGAGATATCTAGCTCTGAGCAAGCTGCTTTTCGCTTTTCAACAGCTCTGTTGATTTTCGATGACATCATCGCGAGCACCGCTTTCCAGGAGCGTCCGAAGTTGTACGACTATCACCAAAGCCTCCTTTGTAAAAGTGATGGGGTCGATGCTGTCCCTCCTATCAACCTTGAAACTACTGTGGGGTGTCAGAATTGGGTGCTCAAACAAATCGGCGAGATTGCTGTTTTGGATGCATGGAAGAAACACTGCAAGGCAGCTGGCAATCTGGATGTTATTGAGCTGGTACAGCGCGCAGCAGCAATCAAGAAAGCGCTAGAGGCTCATGTTTCACGTTTCGAATCCGATCTGGTGTCTGTACCTCAGGAGAGCAATTTACTGGACGATATGTTTGCAGCCGAAGACTACACTGGACAAGCTCGTACGATCGCTCGGCAAACCTCATTAGTAACTCGAATTTGGGCGCATAGTACCTTTCTTTATCTGTCTGTTGTCGTATCTGGGTGGCAACCTGCCAACCCTGATGTACGGTATCATGTAGCTCAAGTTCTTGAGCTGTTGACGCATCATGTATCACCTCCAGCATTATTGCGCACAATGGCCTGGCCATTTTGCGTCGTAGGATGCTTGACGGAATCTGCGCAAAAAGCTCGGATACGCGACATGGTAGATTATCTACGACCGGCCAGCCGCTACAGCACTGTGCGCCGCGGCTTCGATATTATAGACAAGGTGTGGAACGATAGGGCCATGGGTAATACTGGCGAATTCGCTACATATTTTCGAAGTGACACCACTCTTGTGCTACTCGTTTGAAGGTGTAAGAATCGCATTGATTTTTGATTCTCGGTTTCAAGCTTTTCAAGGTGTATTCAAACAATAGCATGGATATTAAGAAGTGCTCTTATCAATTCCAAGGCTCTTTTCCGCAAACCTCACGAATCTCTATGATGTAATTGATCTTGGCCCTCTCTGTTTCCAATACTTGCTTAGGCAATTCAGCGGCCTTTATATTCATCCATTCGAAACTTTATTACTTTTGTTACTTAGATTCAAATGCCAATGGATTCGGATCTATCTAGCCGATAGTATTCATCTTATTACAGAATTTTGTTAACAGATAACATCTTCAATGAGATCGACACCAGATGGAAAAAAAAGAGCTAGGTCTGCTTTGAGCACTTGTATTGAAAATATAAAACATTTTTATTTTTTATTTGGCCATTTTACATGCGCTAGCTAAGAAGCCAATCGATATCTAAAATTTGGTATAACCTTGGTCCTTCACAAATGTAGCATGCCATGGAACTTTCTCGGCGCCACTCGCTGCCAATTGCGAATAGAAATCGGCATGCGCGGGACCGTTGACCGCCTGCCCTGCGATCTTTCCGTCGGCTTGGCGCTGGTCTGCGTAAATGAATCTGGGAAAGGACGTGTCAGAGGACGATATACTGCAAACCTCTGTTTCTCTCTGTGTGGAACATAATCTGGAAAAGAAAGGATGGACAAGCACTTACCGGTAACCCTTGGCTGTATATGCTCCGTCAGCAACACCAAGCCAGTAGGCAGTAGCTGCCTTTCCCATACCACCGTTCAACAACAATGGCACTGGCAATACAGCGACATTACAGATGTTACCTGTGTAGATGAATACCTTCTTGCTCTCTGCGGGTAGAGTTTCCCAGCCTTTGATAGCTTCTTGTGCGGCAATGAACGGAGTGACAACATTGACGTTCAAATCGTTAGTAACGCGAGCCTGCGGAACAACAAAGTTAGCATTTTTCTGAATAAGAAAGGTTTCTGAGGGGGATTGGGCGTAAAACACTGGCTTTCGAAGCACATTGAGATATTGGGGGACTTTATGAGCTGAAACCAAAGTGGTTGGGAACTGGTTTGATGGCGACTTACACTTGGGATGGACAAGGCTGATTCTGCATCAGGTGGAGGAGTGATGGAACCGGCGTTGTATATGACTACGCTAGGAGCCGCTGAGAATTCGCTCTTGACTTTGTCGAAGATAGAAGCCAAGATGCTGGGGTCGGTGTTGGCAAAATCGGCCGAGAGAGAAAGATATCCCTTCTCATTGACTGAGTTTGTACCTTTTCTCGAGACAATGGCGACTTTGTATCCTTCTGCCGCGAACTTCTCAGAGACAGCTTCACCGATTCGTGGACCTGATCCGAGAATGAGAACGTTTTTGGTAGCCATTTTTATTGAAGATGTCGAGAAGCTTCGTGTGTTGAAACACAATTTTGCACAGAATAATCTCATGAAATCAAGTTGTATGTATAGGTCAGGAGAAGTGCTGTATGATTTTATCACAGAGGCCAAACCCCACAATCCTTATATCAGCGATCAGTTTACAAGCCGCGCGGGGGTGAGACCCAAAATCCGAGCGCCGCATTCGCAATATTCTTATCTTACATTCCTATTTTGAGCCCTTGCTCTTGGTTGGCTACGATGGCGGAGTGGACCCTGCAGCATAAACCCAGTGTGCATCATGCACGCATGTCGTGATTAAGAATTAACGGCGCGCGGCTTAAGTAAGCCGCGCGGGTGTGGGTCCCGGGCTTGAAAGTCAACATCAACAATTTAATAAGTCCTTGCTTTTTTGGCGATATCACATCATCCTTGATTTTCCCACTTCTCACCTGGATGCCCCAATAAGAATTATATCCGCGGGTCAAGGGTAGAGCGCGCGAGACCACCTTGTCGACAAAAAATGCTTGATCTTCTAAGCAGGATCAACATCACGACATCCTGTTTCGGGATACGGTCTCCATCTGCTTTCGGATCAATAGTTGAAGGATCTCGATATTTCTACCTCAAATCTTCTTACATGCAAGGTCAATCACAAACAGTCCCCTTGCTTTACGGGCATCGTATTATTGCCATAGTATCATCTCGCGGCCAAGGATGATTGTCTAGCGCACATGCAATCAGACGAGTCAACAATGCCTTTCTCACAACTATAGATTACGAGAGACTTTTTATGTTCTTGCAGCCGAACTAACTGGTTGTTATTGCCGAGTGGGATGAATACTGCAAATGCATTCAACTGGTGGAGCTAGGAATGAATGCAGCTCTACATCGACCTGGAAGAATCATAGGTAGAAACTTGCATTGCCGTCAACTCTCCGTAGAGGTTTTTGATGTTCGTTTCATTGATTCTGCTTACAATATCATTGGAAGACGATGGCGAGATTGTGACATTGGTGCCATTCTTGGCCTCGGCTTTCGAATTCCGTCTCATACCCTGGAATTGCTCTCGATCAAGCGGCCCGCAAGCGCGAGAGAAGGGTATCTACTGACTCACTCGCGGGCTCCAATGTACTTGACTGTCAAAGGCCTTACTGTTACCGTAGCACGACTACTCTAATTCAACTGCGTTATTATTCTGTGAGATTTGTACCTACTTATCGATGGCGTTATGTCATCTTGGTTTGAGCGGGCTCCGGTAATATGCTAATAGTGAAAAGTCACATGTAGTACATGATACAACGTACATGATTTTTTGTATTGGAAAATTAGACTGAGCGCAAGCTCTTTAAGTAAATAGGCTAGCCTAAGTTTTGGAGATAGCTACCGTTGGGCCATTTAATTGGAATCAAGATTGTTCGGACCCTTGAAAATCACTCCATTGATTCACCAACAGGTTGGTCAGTAGTCCAGACCAGCAGGTTGGATATAAGTTCTCAATGTTTGAATTAGTACAACATCGGAAGCGAATCGGGTGTTCTAAACCACTTGGATAATTTATTGATTGGAAGCTTCTGGTTGTCGCACTGCAGTCCGGATCATTGTAACCCTAGTCATCACCAAAACTACCATGAATTTCATTTACATAACACGAATTTTTCGCTACGTTGGGAGCCTTAACAAAAAAGCAGTCATCAATGTATTTTCTGCCTCAATTCTGCCTCGACGAAATCTCGAGAATTGAGTCTGTGCTCCCTTCGGGAGTCTGTAACATCACGAAGTCAATACTGTCTATTATTTATGTTTTTAAATCCGATTACGGAATGTAATTGCGACGAAAGACTTACGAGAATGCGTGTCAACTCAAGATTGGAATCTGCCTCGTTGATGATCTCCCTCCACTCAGATTCGCTTCGCTCCTGTGCATTCAGCATCTGAACCATATTAAGGTCCCTGATTCTAGTAAAAAATCAGCAAAGAATGGTTGGCTTCGAAGTGTAGAACATAGCGCAGGTATCGTTCAGCAATACTCGACATTGATCTGTTCGATGGCGAAACGACAATTTCGACCAGCAGAATCTTGCTTCCGGGCTTCATAGCCGGTACAATTTGACGAATGATTTTGACACTATTCTCATGCGACCAATCGTGACAGATATGTCGCAAAACATAGACTTCGGCGCCCGTTACCGGCTGGGGATCAAAGAAGTTATGCTGTAGAAACTTTACTCGGTTGGTCAATTCGGATGACAACTGTGCAGCTCCTTGCTCCACATTCTTTTTGTAGTCTTCTACCACAAAATTAAGCTCCGGGTATTTTTTTGCGAGTTCCACACTCAAGAACCCGGATGAGCCACCAACCTACACGAATCTGAGTTAGCTTTCCAGGACAGTAACAGGAACACAAGTCAAACTTACATCGACAACAGTAGCCTCTCCAAGCTCTGCCCACGGATATCCCGTTATAACGTGCTTTTGACTCTGGCTAGGATCCTTGTTAACACCCTCCATCGCACAACTGTTTTAACTTTTCTCTCGGACAGACCAACCTTTGTCGATATTTCTGCATAAGTAGCTCCGCCATCTAGTGGAATTGCAGGGAGAATGTTGAAGTGATAGATGACCTGTTGAGCTGCATTATTAAGGGCCTAGACACATATCTTAGCATGTCAAGCTTCACATCTTTCTCGATGGTACTTACAGCACCCCAAATCCGAGCCAGAACCTCTCGTGGACCAAGAAACAAGTCGTGAAGCGCACTCGTGTCATCTATAACCGCCATCCGTGCTGCTTCAATCTCAGGTTCCCCATCAGTGTCAGGAAATCCATCCTCCGCATCTTGATCGAAAGATACTTTGACATTCTTGCCAGCCAACCATTTCTCAACAATAGCTGAGTTTCTAGCGATTCTTTCACTGAGCTCTTTGATAGAAGACATGCTGAATATTCACGTGGGGTTTCTTGTGGAATCGGCGATTGCAGCATGAGCTATCTATAATGCTATATGTATCCTACTATCCCTGAACACATGGGAGAGTCAACACGAGTCTGACATTCTAGTTTGGATCGGGGCTCGGTCGTCCACTTTTCGGCTAATTCCCCGCTTCGGCCGGCCGGGCTGCACAGCTATTTTCAAAGCCATTATTATTGGATGTTTCAAAGATTTTATGCGCGAGTTTCATTTTGCAAGAAACTCACATCAAGTAGAGCGCATCTGTCAAAACATGGAGATTCATGTGCCGAATTCCGAGTCTTTCAAGATGCAATGCTAGATTTCAAAGTTCTTGCCGCAGGATACCAGTGATGGAAAGTAGAGGGCAGGGCTGGTAACGGTTCTAGGTAGCGAAAACACTCGAGTGATTGAAGCCTCGCTTTGTGTTCGGCATAGACATATTTGGATCAATTTATATTATATTACTAAACTACATTGGTCGAAGAAAACTTCTTGCCTTGAGGATTAAAAGTCATCTGAATCGACTCATTTTTCTCTGTTGAGATACTTGGCTCTTCATGAGTTTGCAGACGCTTCCTAGGGAGTTCAGGTGCCAGTTCAGGCCATGTCATAACTTGTTCCGGGCTACCGTTAGCACCACTTTGTCTTAGCTGGTTGAGTAGATCTGATATACCAGCATCTGAGGCATCTGCTGAATTTGCCGAGCCAAAAGGTGTATATGGTCCTAACGAAGATGGGAGAGATGAGCCGATGTCCCAGGAGAAAGGCGTGCTCGCAGCAGGTTGTGGTGAGAAAGAGAAAATTGATCCATCTCCTATTGAGCCTGGTGGGGAGATCTTTAAGAAGTCTTCAGTTTGGGTATTGAGAGACATTATCGTATCAGATATCGATGCTGTTGAAGCCATGGAAATTGGTTGATGCTGTTCGGGATACTTTATCAGATTGATTATTATAAGCAGCTGCTCGAATGTCCACGCGACCTTGCGATGATAGCTGTTAGATTGCATCCGCTCTGTGCTGTGTATATAGCAGGCAGACACTCTGCGCAATAAATCGAGATCGGAATTAGACCCGTGGTCATTATCTGAGGAATTTAGGAGGTCTTTGAGTAGTATGAAGAATGCTGGCAGTGAAAAGGCGTCAAGTATACTGGCAAAAGAGACTATGTTCGCTTCAGTGGTGGATAGCTTCTCGTCCCGATTGGGAGTGGCGGTCTTCTGACAAGCTAGAGCGTTGAAATTATCGACATCTTGAGGATCTTGAACTCCATTTGCTATCAGCAATAAGAGGCAACTGGTTCTTGCATCGGAACGTAATTGTTCGGCATGCTTTTGCCCAGATCCATGCTGTAAAGCAAGTATACGAGTAGCCAGAAACTCCAAAGTCAACATGGACCGGCGGGGGTTACAAGAAGATGCCTGGAAATTCAAAATACCAAACGTTTGTGTAAATTGGGCCAGTTGGCGTTCAATGGATCGCAACAGTTTGGAAGCTTGTGATTTTCTAGACTTGCTTGTCCGAAATGAGGCAGTGTGCGTCAAGCGATAAACATCATCTTGAATCATTGCTAGTTGCAGTGTGTCTGAATAGGATACATGGCGCTCTATTGCAGCGCTTAATTGGGGAGCAATATTGCAATCGTGGGTCGGCAGCCAGGAAACAGAACCTCGAGTAGTGCACAAGCTTTTGTCCCGGACGTAAAGCGACTGTATGACTCGTTCCAATGCATCAAATGTATTGGTTTCATCGGGAAAGATTTGTGTTTGGTGAAGTCTCATGGTTCTTGCAAGCCCACAAGCGTTGGTGAAAATAAGCTCAGCCCACCCCGGCGGGTCAAATTGTTGTGCTGCGACACTCTATGCAATTGGTTAGCTCGCTAGTGTGATAACCAACAACACGAAATTAAACCTGTACATACTAGAAGTATCAAAGTCTGTACGTTGATAAGTCTTGGTGTGGTCAGTAATCGAGAATTGACAGCGCAGCTCGACTCGGAAGGAATGAACGTGCAAAGTCGCCAAATAGACCGTTACCTGATTGGGCAGAAATTTCCATACCCCAAACAAGCACTGTAATGGCCTGGAAGCAGATGGCCCATACATCATCACGAGGCTCAGGATTATGCGAGTATATACGTTCGACTTGGGCAAGGAGATTGCTCTTCACAAAAATATCGGTTGCACAGTCAACATGCTGAAAGAAATGACCAATAGTGGTGGTAAATTGTTGTTTTGATAGGAGGTTGATAACGGGCTGGCTCCCAAAGGGTGGGAATGGTTCGACTACACCGGCACTTTCACACAAATTCTATAGCATATCTTGCAAAGCAGTATTGCACTCAGCATCGTTTGCAGAAACGGCGCAAGATCGGATTTGCTTGCAGAGAACAAACAACGACAATGGGCCGTGATAATAATCGATTCTATCCGCCTGATTATAAAAGACGTGAAAGTCGACATGGTCGTCGCTGTATGGGGAAGGGCTCGCCGGACAATCTTCATCGTCTTCCCCATCAAAGCTTCCACCCCTGGACGCTTGTCGGGTCGATAAGTTATAGCAAGAGTTATCCTGATCTGTATTCTGCGCGATTTTGTTAGATAGGCGGCCGAGATGTGATTCTATATTGATCAGGCACTCTTTGACTCCATTCACGCTGTGAAATCTGGGTGCTAATTAGACATATTTCATCTAATTGAGAGCAGTGAAGTAACTCACAGTGACTTCAGGTGATTCACTCTCTTGGTAGGATTTTGATAAATGCATGTCACGCTATCGTCTTGCTCGCAATTATTGCATTGTGGGAGCTCACGGCTACAATGAATCTTGCGCTCACGGCAGCGAGTGCATGCTTGTTCCGAAACAGAGTCTTCAGAGTGGCTTTGTTTCTATTCGCTCAGTTAGCGGTAATGTGGTATAGCGAGAGATACAAATATCTTCATATGTACCCTTTTCTGATGGCTAGACATTTTGTGTTGTTCGAAGACTATCCTGATCTGATTCAATTGGCTTTGGTAGAGTCTCTTCAAATAGATATAAAGATATGATAGAGTGGCTCTAGCTTTCTTGTAGGCAAAAGGGAAAGATCCAGCGCTATTCCCATGTAAGCTTAAATTACAAATGCCATTGGTCAAGGGTTTTGACTTCCCTTCGTGTCAGCACTGCCAGCGACAGCTAGTTCTCCCTAAGCAGATTACTAAGATGTTCTCTCGCTTCGTAGCACAACCAAATATCGACCTATCACAAGAATTCATGTGGGAATAACGCTCTCCCACCTGCAATATTTTGGAAGTCGAATTAACCTTGAAACCCGCACAATGCAATTAACTCAGATAGCGATAGTTTAACGGGGCTCTAAACGACACCACCCGTAACACAAGCCGACACTATAACTTCCTGCAAACATCATTGCGTCTTACGTGAAAAGTGATCACCAATATAAGCACACGTCAGCTGCAAATCAAACCACTCTCGAACCACTACTAGTCGTATGGTTGTAAATCAACTCGAGTTTTCAATCTATAACGCGCGATATGACATCTTCATGTTCCAATCGTTCTTCGACGACATGCCAAATTGAGTTTCTCCGCGTCTCTTTTTCTTGGCTGCGTGATTTTCCGTAATCAAGCCTTTTCAAGGGTCGCTGCAGTGATACGGCCAAGAGGATTGGAATCCATGAATTGCAGCTTGAGCTAGTAGAGTTGCCTTAGGCAATCACTGGCGCTTCTTCAACTGTCGTATCCCACTTTCCGAAAAGTATATGTACGACTATGATTAGCCGATTGTGTGACAGACAGACATAATAATTTCACAGGGGCAGTAGGAAAGAGTTTCTAGAGTTTTTCATATCAGCATGGTTCGTTTTCCCGTCGGTGAGATTGAGTTTAAGTATCGGTATCAAAAGTGCCATTAGCGACGCTGTCATCACGTACCAACTAAGCCAGACCTTAGCAACCTGGAAATCCTTAGAAATTTCATTTCTATTCTAATTCTATATTTCTATCTAATCAACCCCCATCAAACCAACTACAACAGTAAAATTCATTCAACAGACACAACAACCCTTCTTCCAAAAATGCCAACGCCTGTGATTGTGAGAATAGTACTGCAAAAATGATGCAGGTGGCGTTCAAAGGTCTATTCACGAATTAACATTATCGCTAAGGAGAAAGATTCCCTTAGTATCAACCGAGAAAACCCACTCAACTGGCTTGGCCCGCCATTGGCTACCAATCGGATGGAGCGTTTGCGTCAGATCAACAGACAAGAGATTGAACAAAATTAAGCTTCTGTGCTTCCCGCAGTACGCCTGGGCATTATTTGGATTAATGGATAAGCGGGAGGGATAAACGTGAATGTCTCAAAGTGACTGTCATCTTTGTTGCACCCTGGATATTTGACTGCTCTGCAACTTGGGCTATTCTCTTGTGAATTAGTGGGAGCTCCATTTTGTCGCATCGTTACCTATTTTGTTTTCACTTGAAATACTTTCATTACCTTTCCCCATGTCCTGCCCAAGTAGTAAAATAAAGTTTATCGCTTTCGCTCCCCCATCATTCTTAATGTTACTCCAACTCTCGGGCTACCCCCACTGCCCCGTTGTTTCTTTGAAGTGGGGATAGTAAGTGGAAGTTGCGGAACTTGACTTGGCAATGGCGACTGTTCAAACGAGGGGATGATGAGAGGAGGTAGGTGACGGTCAACAATCTGCAGCACCGCATACGGTGGGATACAGATGTATTCAAATCGAATCGGCCCAGCATGCTGGCCGTGGATCCAACCCAGCCTCTTGTTTGGGTAGGATTGAGAGGAGGGAGGCGGTGTGGGGCCAACGACATCTGCATAAGCTGCATATGCATGCACAGATGGTTTCTACACGTGATCGACCTCCACTTCTTGGACAGTGACCCCAGCAGAGGGTCATAACACTAGCTTCTGCTCCTTTGTGTCTCTGCACTAGCTAGAAGACCAAATAGGAAGTTATATAAAGAAAGGTACTAATGGTGTACTGATATGGAAAAGGTCTTTATTTTCCAGCTGTGCTAAAGTTGAAAATACGACTTAAGAAGGCTAAGAACTAGATGGGATACTAGCTCGGTCCGCAAGCCATTGTGCCCTGTGAAACCTAGGTCATGATGCACCTTGCGTCCTTGAGAAAAGACTGGCTTGCGGACAGCTTATAACCCATGGACTGCGCATAATTTTATCTGCAACATGGAGTAAAAGAGGATCCTCCCGTTTATGACCGAAATAGGGTCGGAGGATGACTCGAAGAGCGAATGCTGACGAAGAGGAACAAATAAGATTGTAGGAAATAAGACAAGAGAATAGGCTAAAACTGTCATGCCCAACCGAAGTTAAAGGAGCAGTGTCAAGTCAGAATCCCAGCGGTGGGTGGCCAGAAACACCGTTGGTGTAAAAAAGTGGATCGGCGCGGGCCTACTAGGCTGAAGTATAGCGAACTAAGCCTTAATACACTAGATAATCTTGGTATCGCTGGCCTACTTTTAGTATAAGCTGGGGATAGAAAAGGCTTGTTGATATGATTTCCAATCAAGAATTATTGGTAATCGTCTAAGCCCTAGTTTGCAGAACTACTAATGTAATGCGGGGTGCTGAAGAATATTTTCGATATGGTAGAATCGAAGATTAGTAGATTCTGTTTTTGGTATAGAGAAAGTTTTGATTAGGAAAAGCTTCTAGTGTAGCAAGTGCAATAAACCAGATAATTCAATGAATACCTAGAGATTCTCAGAAGGTATACGTGGATTGTAAGCCCATGTTTAGTTTTGAAGCAATTGCTAGCAATATCTGGACATTCTGACAATAAGCTGTAGGGCCAGAATACACTACTGAATGATTTAGAATTGAATTTGGTACCTTGATTAGCTCCGGAATGACCGATTTAGTTTAGTGCGTGGAGGTCTATCCAGATTTCCTATTGGGCGGTTCGTACATCTTGGACAAAAACGATGCTGCAGAAAACATTAACGCATATGGCTCCACAACTGGTATCGAAGTGGCATAATTGGGAGAGTTAATTATGGAGAAATTGAGGTATGCCATGAAAAGCAGTTTGATTCCGGATTTCGTGCTGAATGTGTCGGGCATCATCGCTTGGAGTTGCAGAGATTTTGACGGCGGATTTACTAAGTAGCGTCATCATCGTAGGTATGGTGCCGAATGACGACTCACTATCCAGTAATCGTTGTGTCAATCCAAATCCTTCTTGTAATTTCGATGGTTCTAGCACCAAGGTAGGACGCACAGAGTTCCAGGGTTGTAAATTGTGGAAACAGACTCGCAGGCTGTAAGTTGTGACGTATTCATCTCAACTATTCGGTGCACTTACATGTGCACCTCTAACTGAATCTGACCAAGATAGTGAGTCTTTTCAACTATGTGAAGCTTCCGAAAGTGCATCCACCTTGACTTTGGGTAAAACCAGCAGCTTCTGCGCTCATCAAACTTCCAGAAGTGAAGTAATACTAATGTGAGCTACTGCTGCAAAAACGTCTTTATCTGACACATCGGCGTTGCTCAGAATCGCATCATCTTTGGGCCCACTTTGGCACATTTGTGAACAAGTAGCTTCACGGCAGATGCATACTCTTCCATCACATTTGTCTGTCATTGGTGGCTTAATATCTGAAGGATCTCCAGCGTCGATAGCAACTCTTCCTGATAATGAACTCATCAGATTGCCGTGATTTTTTGTCGATGTGATGTGAAGAGTTGTACTGTTAGGCATAGGCTGATCGTTAAACTTCTCTCTCGCTGTGAAGTGTGCAATGAATTTGCGCTCAAGAATAGTACTCGAAGGGAGTAACTCCAAGACACGCATCCGTCTTTCTTCCCTCTCCTACGGCGCAACTTCCGTTTCAGTGACTCCGAAGTACTGAATGTGATCAGATGTTGGGATCTAGTTTTCGAGTCTTGCGGAAATCGAGTATGTTTGAAAAATGAAACTATCCCAGATACAGATAATCGAAATATTCCAAATAGCCTCGACTAACCAATCGAATGGAATTTCGAAAGTATTATCAACAACCTAGAAGGTTAGACGACCCGAGATATCCTTCAAATAGTGACAAAAGTGCCTCTCAAGTCAATTTATGTGTCGGATTGTGGATTTTGGAGTTGAGCCCTGAACACCTTGGACGTTGTATTGTTCGTCCCAATATTCTGGGCATGCCAAGCAAAGTACCCGGTACACTGACAATTGGAGATTTTCGAGATTTTGAATCGCCCTATGCATCTAGCTGATAACTCTTCTTTGTTGGAGAGATTGGAGAGATGAGGAAGTTGCTTATAGTCCCCCTTAATACACCCGCCATATTTGCTCACGAAATCGTCTAATATGCGGGGAGCCGGAACGGCTCAAAACTAGAACATGCCTTCGGAATCGACGAACCATTGCTCATAAAACGTCGTATGATCAGCTAGCTGTATCTAGTTTTGCGTGTGTGCAAAAAATATCGATTGATTGTTGTCGAAAGCGTTCCATCTTATAGGAGTTTCTACAAAAAAATTGGGAGTTGGGGACCCGAGTAGAAAATGGCGATCGAGGTCTAGGCCCCGAGTTTAACATTGAGAGATCTGCACTGAGTGTAATTAATTTTGTATAGTTATCGTCCCTGCTATACAAATTGAACCATGTGAGAGGACTTACTTACGTACATAGAGAATTAGTTGTCGGAAGTCTCTATACAAGGCTGTGAGGCTGGAAATTATGCTCGGCTGGATATCTTGGTCTTGTCCACATTATACTTACAATTTTAACCATTTATATAGCACCTATTGGAAGCATAAAGAACAACCCGCGGAACAATCAGACTAAATATATAAGGAAAAGGAGTGAGCTGAGAATAACCCCTGCAACTTTGAAAGAGCTCTAGACTAGACGTTGGAGGTGACCCGACAGTCTGGTTAAGGGCAACCACCGCTACGTATTTAGGTTGCATAATGTGGTACCATCCTTGCAATGATGCCTGTGATCTTTGCCTGTCCCCAAGCGCTGAATGCATGGCATCTTAGCCAGGTAACAGTGTGATGGGAAACAGTTTCATTTGATGTTTATTTTAGCCACCTTGTGCGATGCGACCCTTTCATGAGACCCAGCATCATTTCTTACCCCTGGGTAAACGTAGAAGCACTCGGCTATAACATCAAGTGCCGTAAGTCCTTTCGAAACGGTCACATTTGAGTATGTAGCTCGATGGGAAGTGAAAGGTAAAGGATAGAATAACAACAGTGAAGAAGAGGATGAAGGATGTTTTTAGTGTGTTTAGAAGGACCAATGATGAGTCTTCGCGCTTACATCCCCAGACCTCTCTTCATTATCAGTGCCAAAATGCAAAGCAAATCATAGTTAGATATCAATATCTCTTTATAGAAACCATACCTTCTTACTATCAACACATTAATCTCACAATTAACATATGAACACATGAATATCATATTTCGCGATTGTCTATATTGATAAATATTGACTAAAAGAAGTAATAAACTAGATTTGTAGGAGATCCGTCGGATACTCAAAATATCCGAAATATCCGATGTTCGAAATATCCACCCGAGCCACCAAAATAACTGGGTACACACGGGGTGTGCCTATCCGATACCCATTCGTGAGGGGATCCACGAGCTCAGATGTACTCCAACTACAACTTCCTTAAAGCTCTCATATGGAATAACAAAAAGGAAAGCCATACATTCAATTACGATTGATTTCTTTCGAAATTCGAATTTGACACCAAAGCATCGCCGCAATGGCAACAACACCCTTAACTGAATTCCAATTCTTCTCCTCTCTTCCCTATGAACTTCGTCTCAAGATCTATGGCATGCTCCTCAACGAAACCCGCACCGTCCAAATAAATTGCGAAAAGGCCACGATCATCTCAACCCGCCGCCGCTACCTAAAGTCTTTCAAATCACCAACTCCCGTCCCTTTGCTCCTACACATCTGCCAAGAAACTCGCGCCGAAGCCCTCGCTCACTATAAACCCCTCTTCCGTACACAGCATTCCCCATCCTACTTCTACATAAACTTTACCACCGATATCATAAAACTTGCCGATGGGATTATTCCTTACCTAGATGGAGAAGAGCGCGACGGGATAAGAAAAATGGAGCTGGTGGTTTCGGACGGGGCATATTTTGGTCATTACAATTTGGAAGCAATATCAAGGATGAGGGGGTTACAAGAATTGGAATTGGAGGCTCAAGGAGAGGATCTGAATTCTTGGCAGCCGGAAGGACATTACTTGAGTACTATCATGAAGGAGTTAAAGGAGATGAGAAGAGAGAAACCAGATTGGTGTTGTCCGAGGGTAAGGCTTGTGCATGGGAGGTTAGGTAAAGAGTTTGGGGTAGTCGAGGGAGGTATCTGGACGGAAGCTGATGAGGAAGATTGAAATGATGAGGGTGATTTCTTCTTTTTCTTTTTAGGTCGACGGTAATGGTAGATAGCACGTTTTGAAATAATGGTGTTGAGTGGATTTGCGAAATCATGTCTAATCGATTTCATGTTTGATATCTATGTGGTAAGAAGTTTGCCATGGCAAATCGAATATCACGGTATATCTGAAATCATCAGACTTATCATCTTAGCAAATCAATGTTGTCCTCGAACTCAATATTGAGTGTCCAGATCAACATATCATTCATTTTCATTCTCCAGAAAAGGGGTCACGAGATGGGATCATGTCCATGACATATCATTCGACATAATGACTTCATTGTTCCTTCAAAAGCATGAGAACATATGTGACTTCGTACTGGCTGTATATGTTAAGCTGATGTATGAAATAACAATCAAGATGTGTTCCATACTGAGCATATGGGTTTAGGATAAAATAAGAGAGTATACGATTCTACATAGGATTAGCAACTATAGATTGTGAGTCGAAAGAAGGCCATTGCTCTTCATATGGATAATTCATGGAAGTATACTTCCTAGAATATTATGAGTATTGCTAATTTAGTATTAAAATAATTTAATAGATTTGATTGAATTTATTACAATCTCAATCTGTAATTAGGGCTTTTCGGATTAGTTTTATATCAATATAATTATTATTTTCTATTTTGAATATTGAGTTTTTTGTAAAGTAATTTTGAATATATATTTTATATATATTTCTTAATATAATTATATTATCAAAAAGATATATATATATATATATATTCAGGTTATCTATAATTTATGTAACGGATTGAAAAGATTATGCCTGCCAGGGCAGGGAAAAAGATTCTGTCAGCAGAACCTTAAGATCCTGTCAGCAAAAGGTATAAAAGGATATTATATCTTCAATTCTTGTATTTAATAATTTAATATTCTTTTATATAAATTGTTAACTTCAATTCATTATTTATTATTAATTATCGATTATACCTTAAACCCAATTATCATATTATATCAAGTTCATATTACAATTCTAAAAAGAATAGAATATCTAGTTAAAACTCTATTAACAATCTAAATCGAGAATATACATAAATACCTTTAACCCAAACTTTCTTTAAAAATCTATTAATATTTTAATTTATTAAAATGACTTTTATTATAAGAGTTATTATAACAAGAAGCTTACAATTAAACAATCAATAACCCAACCCCTTAGAATAACTTTAAATAGTTATTCAAGGTTCTAAAAGCAAATCCTTGGAATAATTATTAGATATCAAAAAAGAACCCTAACCTTTGGAAAGATATAAAATGGCCGAACTCAATATATTGCCTATATCAATAAATCTTTTTAATTCTATATTCAGAAAAACTATAAATCCAATTACAGTCAATCACTTCGCATTACCTATATCAACAAACCCTTCAGATTCCGTACCTAGAAAAGCCTCTATAACTACCCAATTCTCTATTCCAATTGAGTTAAAACTTATTCAATAAAACACTAAATTCCAAAAGCAATTGAATTACTTTTCAACCTTCCTTATAGAAAAATCATATTTACTTTGTTATCGATATCGATAAAGATTGCTCCCACCCTTTTTTAAACTTCAATAGGTTTTGTTTATTATAGAAAAACCTCGATTTTCGATCTCCTCATATAGCTTATACCGAGCAAGGAAACTCAATAATAAAATTAAAGATCTGGAGCTTTTAGATAATAATATTAAACCTATCTTTAAAGTATAAAGAATTCTTATTAAAAGAAAATTGTTTGATAATATAAATCACTATACAAATAAATAATTCAAAGTACAAATTGTAACACTTTGCCTTAGAAGAACTGCAAGAGTAGGGTACAATTTATTCTTAGAATCTATAACTATAGAATTGGAAGCAAAACACTCATAAAGCACTTCTATATACTAGCTATATACACATGATTGTGTACGTGTGCAAGTGTACACATAAGCGATTGCAACTGCAATTAAATGCAATCCGTAACACTACCCCCCCTTTCGAAAAGTTTACCCTTAAGCTTTACAATTATCTAATCTGTAGATACATCAGTGATCCTAATAAGGCATCGTTATTTACGTTGTAGTATAATATAATAAACAGGTGTGTGTACAAATTTTGCTTTTTTTGCAACAGGAAGGCGTATAGAAAACAGAGAAAACCGTTCTGTAGCCTAGCAACAATGCGAAGCTTTTGAAGTATATAGATTGCCCGAATTTCCTTTTCTTTTTCAAATCTTTTTTGATTATTTATTTTCTTTATATTCCTCAATCAATAATCAATATATCTTCCACACTATCAAGAAAATATAATAATAAGAGTAAGTTATTATTAGTATAACTGAAGTAGCAGGAAAATGTGTATATGGCAATGAATTGTTTATTTTTCTTTTGTATTTGCTTTATTGATATACTTCTTTACAGCTTATAGTGAAAAGAGTATTTATCTCTTTTGTTATACAAAACAAACATCCTATTGAGGAAAAGAAGGAGTCGAGCTGCAGTAGGAGTGGTAGTAATCCTGTTGGTGAAAAGAAGGATAATAAGGAAGATGGATTGGATAATAAAGATATATATAAGTAAAGCTTTCTTTTAATATCTTTGGTTTACGATTAATTTGTTTAACAAATACAATTATAGATATCGAAGGCAATATGCCTGAGAATAGGATCAATCTTTGATATACTTATTAGATGTATTTGTTTTATTGTTTTTCGAGGTAGAATTTGAAGGAAAAATACAATCTCTTGATTGATTATATTAACGATTACAAAAAAAGTTTATTAACAAATTGATTATAGCAATACATCATTTTCGTAATTTTGAAAATAATCATAAGATAATTAAGAAAGATATTCTAAAGGTCTTGTATTAAAGTCAATCTGATTGCAAATTCAATACATTTTGTTATAGAAATATTAACTTTATTGATATCAATGAATAGGGATCTCCAAACAAGAGATTACTAAAAAAGACAATACTATAATGGGAACAATATATTCGGAAGGACAATTAAATTTGTACCAGCTGTATATATAGTTGTATTTCCAATAAGGGAAATAACATCTACTATCAACTTTCTAGATAATCATCTAATCAATCTTGCTATCTGCTTTATCTGACTAGCAAGTATAAATATAAGTATTTGCCTAATAAGGATACACATAAGATATTTCTCTAATACTAATTGATTATTGCTGAGTATGGTAATATGGTAAAGGTAAGTTACAATTTTGTTAGTTTTTAGTAAAATTAACTTTTGAGATAATTTAATATACAGAAAGAGTTAAAAAGTTATATTTCAAAAGAAATGCTTTCTCTTACTTTTACTCGAGAAACCGTAAAGTATTATATAACAGAGATTACAGTATAGGAAAACGAATTAGAATAATAACACTAGTTTATTGTAACTCAAATAGAAGTAAAGCTTTCAGTAGTTTATAAACAATTGGGTATAACTGAGCGCAGACTTAATCTTATTATTATATATATTATAGCTAAAGGTTATCTTATCTTTCAACTTATAATTATCCTATATATACTTATTATCACTATTGGCTAGGGATTCGACTAATATTTCGGTTTAAACTATTTAGTTTTTGCTATTGTATCTCGCCCAATTATAACTGTTAATGTTTATAAAGACTTTCTTTCTGATTTGATTTAAGTCTGTTGGATAGGGGAAAAGACTTTTTTTGTTAACATTTTATCTTTATCCAATCACTTTCAACCTTTTATATAATTAGGATTTTTTTTATTACAATAATAAATTAAAAAAGTTCTTTTTATCTTTTTCATTTATATATTGATTATTATCTATAAAATCATAATTATCCTTTCTACTCTTATAAAAACGAATCCACTCTGATAGATATATAAGGAGTCCTAGCAGAATAGGATTTCGTAGGTGAAAGTCACGGAAGTAATACAGGGCAGTCTTTAAGTCAGAGGCAAAATACCAGATGAAATTGTTATCAGCATTTAATTACAATACTCTATACTTAAGCTATTGATATACTTTCTTTATAATTAGAATACACTCCACTTTCTATTCAATATCACCAGTGATATTTATTAAAAACAGTAATTCAAGGATTTATTTAGGAAATAGATCATCTGCTGCTTTACGAAACTTGTTAAATGGAAACACAAAATAGACTTTCATAATAGATGATAAATCTAATCGAAAGGAATTTCCAGCCCGACTAATAATCTTAAATCTATCTTGAATAGAATAATCCAATTTCTTAAACAATCATTATATCGGAAAGTCCTTTATACTAAACTATATATAATCTTTTATATCGAAATCAATTAAGTAGCAATACAAGTTAACTAATCGAGATATCTTTTTTTATGCATACAAGATATTTTCTTTTGCTTAATCAAATACTAGTTTATTATATTTAGTATACTCTCTAGTATCGATTATATTCAAATCATTAATAGATATGGTGAAGTCAAGTTTCCAATCCCAGAGATTGCGGGGTAGGTGGTTATACAAAGTTTCATATAGAGTTTGATCACCTAGTGATTTATAGAAAAGTGTAAGTTGAATATAATCCATTATTAATAGGAATTCAAATCAATTATTTTAATAATAACTTATAAAGAGTTGCAAGCGTTATTGAAGATATTAATTATAAATCTCAGTTTGACTGTTAGTTTGCAAATAATAAGCAATAAATAGCTTGACTTGTATTCCTAAGATATTATTGAATTCTTGCTAGAATTTGGATATGAATTGAGAACTACAATTAGAGATTATAGTTTCCGGGGCATTATAATATCTATATATATAATATAAGTATAAGCAGGCCTGATCTTTCGAATCGATTGATTTATAATAGAGTATCGAAATAGCTTATTTGATTAATTAGTTGATAATAACAAATACATTATTGTAACCATATTTATTCTTATTGAAACTATAATAGTTCATAATAACATATTGCTATGCTCGCATAGGGATCAGGAACAGGTAAAGGAG